ACGACAGCAGCAGGTGCCCGCGGCATGCCTTGACGCTTCATCCTGGAAGAGTCAGTGCAGATGGTGTCGAAGTCTCCGTCGCGGAGGAGCCAGAAAACAAAATGCGGCAGCTCGGAGTGGACGAACACATTGAAGGGCGGATCAGACGAAGGACAAGCAATAGTCGTGGCGTAGCCGACATGTTGGCTGCATCTGGGCGTGGTCTCTGCAGCGTTCGCTGGATGCGTGTCTGGGCGGCAGCGGTCAACAGTCGGGGCAAGAACATGCATCGGCTACATTTTAGGCTCGTGAAAACAGCTTGCTGCCCCCGAGCGCCCAGATGAATATCCCCCTCGGCAAGACTCCACCGCGATGAAAACTGCGGAAGCTCCTTGGGGCTTGGGCCTGCGCAGGGACACACGCCATGTTGAGGCAGGTGGCACCCGGTTGAGCCGATAACCTTCGTCGAAGCCAATGGCGGTGAACATAGCGCATTAACGTTGAATGCTCCACTCGAGTGATGCAACATGCTCGCATAGAGAACAGCCAGCACAGTTGCCAATATCACGAGGCAAAGAAATTCTAGTCAACGCAAAAGAGGTCCAGCTGAAATGGGGTGGTGCACTAGATTTGGAGCAATTGTATTGCAAACGCATTGCGCCGGAATTCTATTGCATTGTATCACGCCGAATTTATTGCACGCGAAAACCCAGCAATGAATTTGCGCACCAGAACGCATTGCACGCCCCAAATCTATTGCAACCCCGCGAAACTACTGCACCCAATCTATTGCACCACCCCCCTATTCGATGGACCCCGTTGGGCCAACCAGACCCATGGCCCACGGAATAGATTCGCCGCCATGCCCGGCGCGAAGCTACGGCCAATACTTGCGGGGTGCGATGGGTGATGGAGGCGTCGTGGCGCTTCCGTAGGTGGGTCATCCCACATTGCCTAATAAGCTATAACTGCTTTTGCCCCCACAGCCGAATCTTCACCCACTCGTGCGGTTTGGCGTTTGCCTCAACGTATCAGTGATTGTCCGGGGCGGAGTATCCGACGACTTCCAGAGCAGCCAGAACCATAAACTGCTCGGGGGACGGAGGGTGCTAGCGTTGAAAAGATTGGGGGGAGTGCGAATGTGCGTCCGCATCGCACTGTGCGCAGTCCCTGGATAGCGAGCTGGGGGCGCTCCCAACTCCGTGGTCAACTAAACTAAAACTGCTGATCGCATGTGTGAAAAGTAAAAGACATGGCGGCAATTGTAACACAAGAGATAGTTATCGAAGCGTACATCCTTTGTCCTTGCAGTGTGGGCCTGAACGGCATGGGGGGGGCCCTATTCGAGTGAGGAGAAGCCCCGGGCGGATGAAGACCCCCGGCGAGCATGAGTAGAGGGGGAGGGACTCCAGGCGGATGAGGAAGAGGAGGAGAGAGGAACTCCAGGAGGACCTCTGGGCGAGCCCCAGCGCCGCCGCCGCGGTCCCCCCCCGCCATGGCGGCGGCGGGCGCCGGCGGCTGCGGCGGGGGCCGGCAGAGCAACGGCTCGCGGCGGCGGGCCGCATTGCGAGCGAGCTGACGGCGCCGCCGTGGTCCGCCTCCTACTCCTCCTGGCTGTTCCTCCTGCTGCCCCTCACTCTTGCCCCTGCTCCCTCGCCCTCCCCCTCCCTTTTCTCTCCTTCCTGCCTTCCTCCCTTACTTGCTCCCCCTCCTCCTCCTCCTCTTTCTCCTCCTCCCCTTCCTCCTCCTCCTCCTCCTCCTCCTCCTCCTCCTCCCCTTCTTTTTCTTATTATTCTTATTCGTCTGATTCGTTTTCTTCTATCACTACCAAGATTGGTATTATTCTTCTTATTAAATTACTATTGCTATTAATAGCCTTATTCTTCGTATGATTACTATTACTAATAATGGTATTCCTCTTCGTACTATGATTCGTCTTCTTATTCAAATTATTAGTATTATGATGTGTATTCTTACTATTATTACTGTTCGTCGTATTAGTATTCGTTTTCTTATTAATAATATTAATAGTTTTTCTCTTAGTAGTGTTATTCTTATTATTACTCCTCCTCCTCCTCCTCCTCCTCCTCCTCCTCCTCCCCCGTCCCCTCCCCCGTCTGCTCCCCCGCCCCAAGACAGCCCAAGAAGGCGCCCCCCAAAACCCAATATTGCCCAAGAGGGCCCAAAGACGGCCCAAGAGGTCCCGAGGACGGCCCAAGAGGGGCCCAACAGGAGGAGCCCGAACAAACTCTTCGACCACTCCGTCCCAAGAGGCTCCACAGAAGTCCCCACAAGAGGCCCCAAGAAACCCCAAGAGGCCCCCAAGAAGCCCGAAGACGCCCCCGACAGGCCCAGAAGAGTCCCCAAAAATCCCAGGGCTTCCCCGGCAAACTCCCGGCAGACACCCGCGAGTCTCTGGGACACGGATGCCGGAACGCCTGGCACCTCTTGAATCCACCCGCTCACCAGGCTGAGGGGCGTGTGGGACTGCACTGTGAGAGCTCCATACAGGTGCTTCAGATCCCACTTTTCCTCCCCCCAAACGCCTCCCCCGTTCCGCCGACCGGTAGCGGCAATGCCCCTCTTCGCGCCCCAAGACGGCTTCCAAACGGCGTCCAGGACAATCTCGAATGTCACACCGCTTCCGACACACTTTCGCAGTTGGCCTCCATGTGGCCCCCGTCGGGCACCCTTCCTCACCTCCCAAATGCGCTGCCCAGGACCTCGAGAGTGCCTCTTGGGCCTCACTTCGCCTACAACTTGGACGCGTCAGAAAAATACAAGAAACCCTTGGATTTTGAAGACTCTCGCTTCGCCAGAGGTCGCCCAGATGCCTCCTGTATTTTTTCGGGCTGGTGTTTGTCGACACGTCAACTTCGACGTCGTTTTTGGATTCGATCCAGGATCAATTTTGGACGCTCCTGGGCTTCACGTGGGCCCCAAAACAAAACCCAAATTGGCCCCAAACTACCCCGATTTCCAATGGCATTCCGACGGGGTTAATTACGGCCCAACACGGACGTGCTGTCGCTTCGGCCGTTCAACGCCCGCCTGAGCCGCATGGGTCCCTGCTTGGCTTCTTTTAGGCATCGTTCGAGCCGTTGTTTGTTGATCTTGGCAGTGTGCGGGCTATTTCTGGCCTTCTGGTGTGGATAATCAACAAAAAACAAGAGAGCCAACGTCCATATCACTGATCCGTCGGTACTGATGACGAGACGACGACCAAACGGCAAATCTACTATCGATTAGCCAAGCGGCATGCCTGAGCCTAACAAGCTATGGGTTGGGAACAAATATGGAACGCAGACAAGAACAACAAAACACACCTGCGGGGGGTCTTGTATGATGTTCTGCATATGTTCGTGCCGTAGTGGAGCCGTCTTCGCCTCGTCCGGCGAGAACTGGAGTGGGCGGGCGGTGAACGCGAAGCGTCTTGAATCGGAGGCGAAAGGTGAGATCTCAGTGGAACGGAGAGCACCCCGCCTGGAAATCAATTTCGGCTTCGTGTTCGTGTCGTGCGTGCGGGGGAAGCGAAACTGCGCGGGAATGCGTGCGTGCGTGAGTTCGTGTGTTCGTGTCGTGCGTGCGTGGGCGCGCGAGAGGAATGACCTGCCGTCGCTAGGGCGGTTCGGATGTGGTGGACCACCCCTCCGTTCCCGGTGGGATCGCGGTGGCCAGGGGTGTCCCGCCGTGGTGTCCTGTGGTGTCCTGGTAGAGTCCCGTCGGTTCCGTCGGCGGTGGGCCGGCGGTACAGTGGGATCAATCGCTGACTCCATTGGTGCTAGGACTGGACGTGAGATCGATAGTGGGATCGATCGAGTGAGGTCGAAAGCGGTGACGATGGTGACATTACATCGCATCGCAACATCGTCATCAAGCGTCGTCGCTAACTCGAGGGCGCGTCACCAGCATCGTCATCATCACACCCATCGCATTTGCCAGCAATTGGTTCTTGCCTTCCCACCCGAAGGGTGGTCGTATGGGTAATGATCGGGGCGAATATAGAAAGTGCGCGCCGATGAAAATGCGCAGTGCGCCGACAGTATGCGTTGATGTATGTATGTGTCGGGCCTATCAGAAATACGCGTCGCCAAAATCGGGTACATCGTGGGAGGGCAGGAGAGGGACACGCTGCGTAGTGAGCACTGTGCTTGAGAAGTAGATGGTAGACGCCAGGTGTGAGCGTGTCGATGACAACGCGTGTGTGGTGCATGTACATGCGGGAATCGCACAGGTATGCATATATATATATATATATACACATATGCATATAGTGGAGTAGGAATGCGCCCGTAAGTCGAGCAGGACTGGTTTGGGTGCACAGTACGATTTGGACAAATCTTGGGTGCATTGTGCCAGAAAGTATGGCCAACTGGCCAACTGTGCTTCTTAGATAGGGCAGGGGCTATCTGGCCCGTAGCGACTTCCGTACACCACCAGTGTTTCTTCAAAGTCCTTCTCGGTTGCATTGCATGGGCCACATAAAAGCAATACGCTGGAAACCTGAATCCGCGAGAATCGAGCACACGCGCGAGCGGGGGGCAGTAAGCGCCCTCTCTTCTCTCTCCCTTCCTCCTGCCGAATCCACCTCTGCCTTAGCCCCCCTCCCCACCCTGCATTGCTGCCACGAGGCTTGGGCGAAGGATAGCGAGGAGGATGTGATGTGGAATTGATGGGGAGGAGGGGGCGTGGAGGGAAGAGGGGCCAAGGGACAGAGGATGCTACAGAAAGACGAACAGAACGAAGAAACCGACCGTAATAACGGAACAAGGTGGATGAGAACGGAAAGCACGGAGACGAGAGGACGAGGAAGGCGTACCCAAAAGAGCGACGAGATGGTGGACGGAGAGGGATGAGGGAAGAGGCAGGAGGGGAGAAAGGGAATACGGAAGGGAGGTGCGGGAAGCATGGGTGAGGGGGGGGGATACAGAGGGAGGGGGAAGGGCGAGGGATCGAGGCTCGAGGCAACACGGAGGGGGGAGGGAGGGAGTGGTGAGGGAGGGGAGGAGTGATGATATGAAGCCGACTGCTCCTTGTGGTTCCAGAGGTCTGGTCTAGTCCAGCAGAGCTGGGCCCGCATGACGTTGATCTTCGTCATGAGGGGCTTCTTGGACTGCGTCCGCGGGGACATCATGTTCCTCCTCGTGTTCCTCCAACTCACCCTGTCTCCCCTTCCCTCCTGCTCCCTCTCCCTCAAATGTTCAGCCCTGCTCATGCGTTACTTGTTTCTAAACTTGTCCCTCTCTTTCCCGCACGCTCTCAATCATTATCATTATTGTGAACGCGCGATCTCTCTCCCTTTTTCTTTATGTATGTCTCTCTCTCGCTCTCGATATATATATATATATATATGCATATATATAGATGTAAACATATCATACATAATGTGTGCATACCGGGTTCTCCTCATACATACACGCAGCAGCTCTTACTTATCGAATGGTATCACAAAACATGCTGACACATGATTGCATCCCTTACACGGCCCTACCCCTCTACAAACCCCGTCGCCATACATATCGATGCGTGCGAAACAACATAAACGTACATCTAACTTTGAACATACATAGTATCAGTCGGACCCTTGGGGGCTGCGAGGCGGAGGTGCTCAATTTCCCTGCAACAGGTCGAATTCTGAATGCTGTAATGTTTGATTCCTCGTTCCAGTTGAAGAACGCGCCAAGACTCCAGCCCGAAAATCACCCAGTTCCCCTCCCGGAATCAGATGGCGACGACGAGGCAAGGCAGACTCGAGGCTATCGTATGAAGGAGAACGATGGGGATGACTGGCTCAGGGGTCAACTCAGGCAGGAGGTGGGGGCGTCGACCTGGAATCGGCAATTCATCGCGGATGGATCGGCGATAGGCCCCTGGTAGCGAAACCGCACGTTCCTGGGTGGTGTGGGCCATGGGGCCTGTTGGCGATGGATGGGCGATTGGGGGTCGATGCGTCCCTCACTGAGCCCATCCCCGCCCTAACGATGCCCCCTGGCTTTCGGGGTCATAGATCGGCTCTCCTGCGGCCTCTCGGGAAGATCCGGGAACCACTGGACGCCTCTCGGCGTGGCGCAGCCGCTGGAGGGCATCCCGAAGCTGGGAAGCCGACGAAAGCGACCAGCATGTCCGAAAATCTCGGAACCACCTAACGTTGCCCCTGATCGTAGCACTCTCGCACCGCACTGCACCCGAGACCCGAACGTGCGCAAACCAGGCAGCACAGACTGGATAGAAAGTTACAAGTTTAACGGGAGGCACAGACCACACAAGCTGAGTGGCTGGTTCGTGCTAACTGGTTACCGCGCCCACGAGATCATCGTATTAAGGTCGCGGAGGCGCCATCCACGAGACCGCGCAGGCCAGTCAGCACCAAACGGGGAGGAAAAAGCCTCCCGGATGGGGTCCGAGTAGATGGGGTCGGAGAATCGCTGTGCATCGAAAAAGGATGCAACGGGATCATCGGCGTGGAGAAACTCGGGCGTCACATCGAGCCGCATCGCCGATGCATCGGCGATGCGGAGCGACCCTCCGACCGCATCCACTCGGACCCTATGAGGCCTAAAACTTAGCGGCTGGTCTGTGCTGACAGGTGAGCGCGCCTAGGGATCGTGTTGTCTCTTTCGGCGATAACCCGTGTCATCCAATGAAGGGGGGGAGGAGGGGAGGCGCCGGCCGGCAAACTGACAACCCAACCTTCTCGCTTCGGGCAGACCAAAGTGTGTCTGGGCGCACCAGCACTGCGTACCCACTTCGGACCTGCCCGACCTACGGACAAGGTCAGGTTATGTGAGGGGGAGGTGGGGGGGGGCGGGCCCGATAATCAAGAGAGGCCAAGTCCAGACGGAGAAAGTCCATACGGATACGGAGCACTCCGTATGGCCTTGCTCAGTATGAACTTTGTCTCCTAAATCAACGGAGGCTGAATCCAGACGGAATGAGTCCATACGGAGACCGAGCGCTCCGCTCGGACCTACTCCGTATGGACCTAGATTATGATCATGAGAGGCGAAATCCAAACGGAATATACCCATACGGAGACCGAGCACTCCGTACGGACTTACTCCGTATGGACCTAGGCTCCTCACTCATGAAAAGCTAAGTCAAGACTGAGTAATTCCATTCGGAGATCCAACGCTCCTTATGGACTTACTCAGTATGGACTTAGATACATTTCAAGGGAGGCTAAGACCAGACGGAGTATGTCCAGACGGAGGCCGAGCACTCCGCATGGACTTAATCCGTATGGACCTATATTCCTAGACTCCTAGGAGGGCAAGCTCAAACCAGACAGAGTGAGTCCGTACGGGCACCAAACACTCTGTATGGACTTACTCCGTATGGACAGAGACTCCTAACAACCCAGGCTGGATCTGCGTCTGCCGGCAGACGGTTCGCCCAATGGGGCCGGCCCAGTGGGCAGTGCTGCCGCTCGCATGCCCGCTCCTCCACTGGAGCTCGAGACACCTCGTGCCTCCGCTTCCCCTCCCTCCCGCCGGCCGCGCTCTGCACATCCTTGGAACGAGTCTCGGCGGACCTTACAAAACGGCCTCCCATGAGGGAAACCAAGAGGTACTGATACCGCTACTCCCCAGACCTGTCCCAGGGTGCGTTCTGACGAGGATTTCGAAGCGAATCCAGCGGTGGTGACGAGGGTCTCCCAGGAGGCACAAGAGGGCGAAAACGGAGGAAAGGTAAGGGTATGGGTGCCTGTTTCTCTTCTGACTTATGGCAGGCAGAGGGATGCTCCGTCCGACACGCGGCCCGTGGCATGCCCGGGGCCTGCTCCGTCTCGGTGGACCCGCCAAAGGTGTTTCCCTGCGCAGAGGGCACGGGCGCGGCGGGGGTTTCGGGCGTGCCCCGAAGCGAGGGGAGGAGAAGGGACAATGCAAGGTGAAGGGTGGAGGAAGGAGGCAGAGGAGGATCAATGTAAACGCAAGTCGCATCGACGGTGATGGAATAAACCATTCCTCTAAACTGCCTCTTCATAGCCCCTTACACGGAATCCTATCCACTGGAGGAAGTGCCCCGTTGGGGGGCAACCGTGTGAAAATTCGGAATCGTGCCAAAACACAATTATCGGGACTCCAGCGCCACGAATCAATATGACTGCTGCGCCTTGAAGGTCCGAAGTCACGCCAGAACACCGCTCCCAGGACTCCAACACCGCGAATCAACGTAACTGTTGCGCCCTCAGTCCCGAGCCCTTCCAAAACGCTAGTTCTAGCACGTTGCCCATGGGACTCCGTGAATATTGCACATGTTTTAGACGAGTGCACGCGGCGCTACATTTGAAAAACGGCCCGCCCTCAGTCCGTGGAACTCTTGCAAAGTTTGATTGGATGAATGCGCGCAGCGCAAAGGCGAGAACTACATGTTAAGAACGACCTGTCCTCAATCCGCAAAACTCGTGCAAATGTTTGAAACGAATGTGTCCGGCGCTACGCCGAGAGCCACATTTTGAAAAGAATCTGCTCTCCGTGTGTGAAATTGCTGCCAAACTTTAAGCATCAGGGTTATACATACTGAGGAAGTCTCAGGCGAAGTGCCCTGCCCGCCCTTTCGACCAGCCTCGGGGTGCGACAGGGAAGAGTTATGTAGAAGTAAGAACAAAATGGAAAGGAGTAAAAGGAGGAGGAAGAGGAGGAAGCGGAAAGATCTCGAGTAGGAGGAAGTAGGAGGAGGATCCTAATAGAGGGGGACAACTCGACGTAGAGGTAACCAACCAGCCTCGAACTGACCCCCATCCCTGAGATCGACAAGCGCAAGGCGATGACAATCTTAGGGATGCACACTCAAAAACTGAGGGAATCCTTAAGATCGGCCCCGAGAGAAAGTGATGAAAAAACAGTCCCGGGGCATCGGTCGAGACCTCTGGGGGGTCTACGTCATAGCGTCATGAACAAGACCACGGCATCGGGGTTATGGGTGGAGGGAAGGAGGAGGAGCGAGGGGTGGGGGGGAGGAGGTGGGGAGAAGGGAGGATACAGTCATCGCGCCATACATGAGAATGGCTAGATGGGGGGGCAAGGTAGGATCTTCTGGCCACGGACAGCCTCGGCCACGAAAATCAGTACCCCGACCTGGATCGGTGGAGCGGCACGAAGACTACAGTCAAAATGTATAGTAAGGATGCGCGATAAGGGTGCAAGTCCCTTGGACGTCCATGACGAAGCTTTTCGAGCGGGGCTCGCCATCGAAAGTGGCTGGGGATGGAACGAAAAGGCGAGGACGCAAGGGTACCCTTGGGATGAAGGGGCCCTGGGACACACAAATAAATACACACAAACAACCAGATTCCCCATATCGTCACATATTTTATGGGTTTTCGTCTCCCCCCCCACTTCCCATATTTTCCCACATTTTCCTGGGAATCGACGGTTAATTGTGTCTGTGTGTTTTTCCCCTTCGTGATTATCATCGATTGTGAGTGTAGAGCCCCCCAACCCAGAGCCCCGACGCCATCGTTTTTTGAACCAACGTCGGCCCCACGAGGCCTCGACCTCTTCCTCTAGACTGGCTCGTCGTCCTGGGTCGTTTTCTGACGGCCCCGAGGCCCGGCAAGGCCCCCAGAGGCCGAATCTGGCGAAAAACCTCCCGTCGTGATTTTTTCGCGACGCGAGGGCGTCTGGGCCTGGGCACTGAGCCCCAAAAAAGGTCCTGTTCTCTGCGTCTTGACGTCTTGCCCGCATGCAGCACGGGCATGCACATGGAGCTTCCCACTGAGTCCCCCATTGAGCCCACGACGCCGGCCCACAGCCCTTGCGGTTGGTAGAGACGCGTGCATCCCTGAGAGCGTCCCCCTTCGGTGCTGGGCGTGCACGCCAAGGCACGCTGTGTCGCCACGGGGCAAGCGGGTCCTGAGGGAAACGGGCCCTGAGGTTTTGCCCCGTCTTCGGCTTCCCAAGGCCCTCCAAGCCTCAGGACTCAGAAAACGACGCATGATTAGCAATTCGCCGGCCCAACGGGCCAGAGGCGTGCTAAGATCTCCGGTAACTGGTTAACGATATTCTAATTCGCGCGCGCGGGGCGGCCTCGGGCAAGTCCCGGGAGGTCCCCGGGAGGGTCCCGGCAGGGTCGGGCCAGAGATGCCGGACAGGGCAATTTTTCGACACCCCTCACGAGGATCGTGGCCTCCGAGGGGGGGGGGCGCAATCGACTACCCCCCCTCCTGCCCCAAGAGGCCCCCAAGAGCCCCCCGAAAGGCCCCAGGGGCTCCCAAGACGCCGCAAAGAAACCCCAAGAGGCCCCCAGGAGGCTTCCAAGAGGCCCCCAAGAGGCCTCCAAGACGCCCAAAAGATGCCCCCAGTATGCCCCCAAAAGAGGCTCCAAAGAGCGCCCCAGGGCCGCCTCCCAGGTGGCCCCAAAACGCATCCAGGGAGGCGTTGATTCCACAACTACGTTTGCCCCCCAAAATGCCCCAAGAAGCCATCGAGAGGCCTTCTCCACATCCTCATCCTGCCCTCTTGCTCCTCCTCCTCCTCCTCCTCCTTCTCGCTCTCCACGAGCACGCCAACACACAGCATCCTCGCCACCAGGCAGGCACGGTGGCAGGATATGCCGAAGGCAACTAGGCGATTCGCCAACCCGACGGGCCAGAGGCATGTTGAGATCTCGGGGAGCAGGTCAAGATGCTGACGCCCAGGATGGCCTCCAGACGGCCGCAGCTGCCTCCAAGACACCACCAAGAAGCGTGTCATGAAAGCCCCAGACAGCAACCATCCTTGATTTACGGTAGTTTGTCGAAGGACCCAATCCCCCAATCGCAAGCGATCGCATAATACGGGCAGGCGGAATGTGCGAAGCGATTAAATAAAAGAAGCCCCTAACCCTTCGGGAGTTAGCCCAACTTAGAAGGGCCAAAGACAGCAGGGATAAGGGGGTCTTCTCTATAGATGCATCAGACCAAGCCGCCCAGATTTATCATCCCTAATGCAACGACGGGGAACTGAGTGAAGACCCCCCTCCCTGGCGCGCGGAGCGCGCCGAGGGCGGCGCTGGAGGCGTCGCCAGGGGGGTCCAGCGCCGATCCGAGAAATCCGCGCGGACCTCCGATCTTGTATGTTTATGTCATGGATCGTTCCCCTCACAGCAGAGCCCCCAACCCGGATGATCATACAGTGAAGACGCGGCCTCACTCAGGTCCCCGTCGTTGCTCGTTCCCCTGTCCTTTCTTCTCGCTGAACCCAGGACGAAAAGCAGCTGACCTCTGTGCCCTGCCCGCGCGAAGCACGGGCACGCACGGGCACCCGGGGCCAGCTCCCCTCCGAGGCGGGCGGAGCCTTCCCGCGCAGCGCAGACTCCCCGCGGGGCCTCCTCGGGCCGACCCTCCCCTGCACGCCCGGCCCCCGGGGGCCGCTGGCCCCCTAGCCGGTGGCATATCATGGGAGCCCTGTGCCCCCTCGCAGTTCCCTTCTGAGAGTGCACACCAGCGTCGATCTGCGTCTGGTTAATCGACGAGTCGGAGGTTGACATAGACCTCCTGCCCTGACAGGAGGTAAGCGAAGTGGCCGTTTTCGGTTCGCGAGAGGGCGTCGCGGCCGTTGTTTTTGCGGGTCCAGGTCCGTCGGTTTCGGTCCTAGGCCGTTTTCATGAACGGGTGGTTTACTGAAGGGAGGTTTGTCCACCGCCGAACGATAGGGGGGGACTTGCTCAGGGGGGAAAAATCAATCTGGAATCGGCGATACCTCGCCGATAGATCGGCGATGGGCCCCCGGTAGCGAATCCGCACGGTCCTGGGCGGGGGGGCTATCAGCCCCCTATCGGCGATCAATTGGCGATTGGGAGGCGATGCATCCCCCGCTATGCCTATCCCCCCCGATGGTTGCCCCTGAAAGTCTGGGCGGGCGATCCTTCCGGAGGAAGGATGCGACAAAGCCAGGACGAGGACAGAATCGGGTGAGGGTAAGTCTAGAATCTCTGAGATCGGGCGGCTCTGGAAGACGCCTCGGGCGCCGCGGCCTTCTTCGAGCGTTCCGGAACGCTCTGAGAGCGCTCTGGAAAGCTCTGGAACGGATTTATACTCGTCCTGGCCCGCCCGAAAGGAGGCAGGAGGGAGAAGAGGTAGGATGGCAGAGGGCAGGGTAGCAAGGGGAAGAGGGGGAGGGTAGGATAGCAGAGGGCAGGGCAGAGAATCAGCTCGCGCAGCTGCTTGTCCAGGCGCCTCCTGGCGTCCACAAGCCCCCATGAATCGAGGAGTGGGCACGGCGGCATGGCGGAAAGCAGCTGCATGCAGCAAATGTTGTATCCGCCCCTTCCCCTATCCTACCCTTTCGTCTGGCCACATAAAGGAAATAAAGAAGGGGGAGTACCCAGCGCCAACGGCCGCCCGAGGGAGCGGTGCGCCGCCTGAAGGTCCCAGAGCCATCAGCAACAGCAAAAGGAGGAGGAGGCGGAGACGGAGCGGGTGGGAGGGGGACGGGGAGGAGAAGGACGGGGAGGCGGAGGAGAAGGAAGGGGGAGGGGAAGCAGGAAGGGGAGGAGGGAGGCGAGGACGAGGAAGAGGAAGAGGAAGAGGAAGAGGATGAGGATGAGGATGAGGTGAGGATGAGGGAATGATGATGATGAGGATGATGATAGATGATGATATGATGATGATGAATGATGATGATGATGATAATGATGACGATGATGATGATGATGATGATGGTGATGATGATTATGATGCTGATGATGATGATGATGATGATGATGATGATGCTGATGATGATGATGATGATGATGAGGAGGAGAGGAGGAGGATGAGGAGGAGGAGGGGGAGGGAGGAGGAGGAGGAGGAGGAGGAGGAGGGGGCAGGGGAGGATGAGGAGGGAGGAGGATGAGGAGGGGAGGAGGAGGGGAGGAGGAGGGAGGAGGAGGAGGGAGGAGGGGAGGAGGAGGGAGGGGAGGGAGGGAGGAGGGAGGAGAGGAGAGGGAGGAGGAGGGAGGGATGAGGGAGGAGGAGGGAGGAGGAGGGAGGAGGAGGAGGAGGAGGAGGAGGAGGAGGAGGAGGAGGAGAAGGAGGAGGAGGAGGAGGAGGAGGAGGAGGAGGAGGGAGGAGGAGGGGGAGGAGGTCCACATCGCCCATTCTGGAGAGAATCCCCCCTCCGACTCTCCCGCCCAGCCCACGGCGCCGCCGCCCGACGGCGCCCAAAGCCCTGCCCACGGCCCTCCCGCCCGCGGTGGACAAGATTCCTGGGCACTGGGGGCTTTCCTCGGAGCGGGCGGAAAGTTCGGTCAGGCAGTGGGAGCCTCCCATGCAAAGACGAAGCCAGGACGAGGCTAGCATCGGGTGAGGATAAATCGGGAATCTCTGAGATCCGGCGGCCTTGGAGGATGCCTCGGGCGCCGCTGCCTTCTCAGAGCGTTCCAGAACGCACTGGCAGAGTCGTGGAACGCTCTGGAACGGACTGATCCTCGTCCCAGCCCCGCCCGACATACCAATATGTCGGCTCTTGCGAACCGACGATGAACGACGACAGTCGACGCTTATTGACGCTACGCAAATCGGCGCTGATCGACGCTTCATCGGCGTCTCCTCGTTCGGCGGTGGACAAACCTCCCTGCAATAAACCACCCGTTTATGAAAACGGCCTAGGACCGAAACCGACGGACCTGGACCCGCAAAAACAACGGCCGCGACGCCCTCTCGCGAACCGAAAACGGCCACTTCGCTAATCGACGTGTCAGGGCAGGTCTACATCAACCTCCGACTCGTCGACTAACCAGACGCAGATCGACGCTGGTGCGCATTCTCAAAACGCAACTACGGGGGGGCACAGGGCTCCCATGATGTGCAGCCGGCTGGGGGCCAGCGGCCCCCGGGGGCCGGGCGTGCAGGGGAGGGTCGGCCCGAGGAGGCCCCGCGGGGAGTCTGCGCTGCGCCCGCCTCGGCGGGGAGCTGGCCTCGGGTGCCCGCTGCGTGCCCGTGCTTCGCGCGGGCCGTCCTGGGTTCAGCGAGAGGAAAGGATAGGGGAACGAGCAACGACGGGGGCCCTGGTGCGGCCACGTCTTTACCGTAGGGACCACGAGGGGGCACAGGGCTCCCACAAAGCGCTGCCGAAGACGAGCACCCCTGGGCCCTGGGCCCCTCGCCGGAGCGGACGCAAGGGGCGAGCGAGCGAGCGAGCGCCGGATGCGCCGCCAGGCGCTGCGAAGGAGCGACCGCGCGCGCCCTGGGGCGTGGCGGCGGAGGCGGCAGCCCCGATGCAGAGCATAACAGATCGGCGCTGCGAAGCGCAGGCGAATTCATGTCTTCTCCACCACTCAATCTTTGCGGCAATCCCGATACGGAGAATGACAGTTCGGCGCTGCGAAACGCATCGGGGGCGCGCAAACATGGATCAGCGATCCATGAATTTGGCGCGCGGTCGCCAAATCCATGGATCGGGGGAGGTGCCCTCCCCAAGATGCGGCCATTGGCGCCTCGCTCGGCGGTGGCGATCAGCGATGTCCTATGGAAGCGGGACCCGTCGCTAATCCACGCCCCCTTAATCCATGTTTGCGGTCGCCTGAACGTAGGCGACTTCGTGTCTTCTCCACCACTCAGTCTCTGCTGCAGCCAAGATCCATCGCAAATCTCTGCAGCTGTGCTCGTACCCATCACAGATCTGGAATTGTGGGGGCGTGCAACATCAGCTGCACGTCACGACTTTTCCTGGCGCGCCCCAGCGCTGGAAACGCCCGGCCTGGCTGCGGAGCCGTCACCAGCCGAACGCAGGAGGTTTCGCATCCCCCAAAGCTCGATGATCCTCAGAACGTGTGTTAGCGCCAACGTGTGCTTGCCCCTTCAGGCCCTTCAACACGACGCAGGCGATGTAATGATCTACCGGTGCAGCTGAACGGTGTAAACACACATTGGGCTAATATTTTCTGAAGATCATCGACGCATCTCTCGATGCGCCCGACCGCGTTCCCCTGTACTGGCTCTTCATGCCGGGTCGGCCTCTGACTGTCACGGGATCCTTGGAGGGCCCACCAAAGCCCCGGGAGCCCGAACCTGGCGACAACACTCCAGGACCTGCCTCTCGCGCATCAACCAGAACTGTGATCCAGACCACACTGCCACTGACACGTGAGGCAGGGCAGGGAAAGAGAGGGACACAATTGGACGTGGAGAAGAGGGGAGGGATGGGCACGGCACAAGAAGAGTTGCTCTGCACATGCACAGGCCCAGGCCAGGTCCTTGGCCAGAAACCTTGCACACGCCAGAGAAGCATACACTACGACCCTGGCCAAGCACGGGCCTGGCAAGGGTCGGCACCTGCGCATCGCCATCGCCACCCAAGGATCTAGGACAAACAGCTGCATTGACATAAACTTCGGAGGTCCGCGCGGATCTCTCGGATCGGCGCTGGGACCACCCTTCCTGGCGAGCGGAGCGCGCCAGTGGCGGCACCGGAGTCGCCGCCAGGGGCGTCTCAGCGCCGATCCAAGAAGTCCGCGCCAGGCTGCGAAAGTCCGAAAGTTCCTGCTTATGCAGCTGTCTTCTAGGAGAATGAGCGGTAAGGATGCAAAGGTACTGGAAGGCCACGTTGACGTTTTGCGAACGGGGTTGGCCGGCGAAAGTTGCCAAATATTGACCGAAGGGGCAAGGATGCAAGGCAACCTGGCAAAGTGGCTCATCTCTACCATGCGCTTTGACTGTAATCCTCGCCCCCCCAAGGGAGAAGTGAGACGAAGACAAATCGGGAATCCCTGAGATCTGGCGGCTCTGGAAGATGTCTCGCGCGCCGCGGCCTTCTCAAAGCGTTCTCGAACTATTTTGGAGCGTTCCGGAACGCCCTGGAACGGGTTCATCCGCCTCCTAGCCCCGTCCGAGGACACCGACAGCGGCCGCTGCTGGACAGGCGGCCTTCTGTCTCAAGTGGACGAAGTCCGCTGAAACGCCAACCGCGATTGAGAATTGCCGTCGCTCTTCGTGCCCATTTCTTCCGTGCCCATTCCGATCGTCCCGATCCCCGTCGCCCGAGGATGCCTGCCTGCCAGACCACCCCAATCTCACCCGAAGACCCACCTTTCGGGTGGGGCGAGAGGTATGGGTTCCACATGTGTTGTTTCAGTGTCCCCCGACGCCCCCTCCACTGAGCATGGATGGGGAAACAAACAATGACACAAACATAAAAACTCTGAGGTCCGCGCGGATGTATCGGATCGGCCTTGGACCCCCCTCCCTGGCGCGCGGAGCGCGCCAGGGGCGGCGCCGGAGGCGCCACAAGGGGGTCCCAGCGCCGATCTGAGAAATTGGCGCGGACCTCTGAGCTTTTATGTTTATGTCACTGTTCGCTCCCCTAGTTTTTCCAATGACCCCCGACGCCCCCTCCACTGAGCATGGAGGGCGGTGTGGGGCCCTTCTGGTTCGGTTGGGGTGCTCTGGCGGGCGGCGAGAGGAGGGCCAGGCCGGGAGTGCCTCCTCCAACGCGTCCTTGATCGTGTCCAGCGGGCCCCCTCTGGCCTCCTGGCCGGGAGGAGGGGGAGGGAGGAGGAGGAGGAAAAGGAAGAGGAGGAGCAGGAGGACGAGGAGGAGCGGCGCGCCTCGGCGCCTCCCCTCGGCGGTGCGCCCAGCGGGTCAGGCCCAGGGCCAAGCGAGGCCAGGCTGGGCATGGGCCCAGGGAGCAGGCACAAATCCCAGGGTCCCCCATCTGTTCCATATCTCTGGGGTGTTCGTCTCCCCCTCCACTCCCCACATGCTCCATCTTCTGCTGGGGATCGACGGTTCGGGTGCGGCCTGCAACCAGCAACCGGGGGGGCACCCTGGGGTGCGGGCGAGGACCTTGACGGAGCTCTCTGCCGCGCCCCGAGGAAGCCCGACGAGGAGAGAGTCGTGCCCCCCAGGCCCACACAGTGCCGATCGCAGACCACACCCCGGCGCGACCGTACCCTTTGTGGTCGCCAAGATAAGTCGGCCATCTCCGAGGGTGTTCCTGGGCAGAGGTGCCCCCAGCTTCTCGTTCAATTAATGAACCTCAGCACCACGGTCGACCTGAAGGCCGACTCTCCACACTACAATGGGAAGTGAAAAAGGAAGGATCAAGAGGCTGAAGGACGGACGACGACGGAGGGCGATGATGGTTATTCACGCGGGCCTTGCCCTCCGCACCCATTGCATCCAGAGTTAAGTCAGGCCTGTCCTCCTACTGAAGGATTTTGGACGAACAATAAAAATTGCCCACACAGTGCCGATCGCAGACCACACCCCGTGCGACCTACCCTTTGTTGCAAGATAAGTCTCCATCTCCTGGGTGCCTGGCAGAGGTGCCCCCAGCTTCTCGTTCAATTAATGAACCTCAGCACCACGGTCGACCTGAAGGCCGACTCTCCACACTACAATGGGAAGTGAAAAAGGAAGGATCAAGAGGCTGAAGGACGGACGACGACGGAGGGCGATGATGGTTATTCACGCGGGCCTTGCCCTCCGCACCCATTGCATCCAGAGTTAAGTCAGGCCTGTCCTCCTACTGAAGGATTTTGGACGAACAATAAAAATTGCCAAACAAAAAACCCAAAGTGGTCGAAAAATCACAAACAACGTCTCCGAACTATTTTTCACCATGTTTGAATGTTCCTGTAGAGGGACAAGCCATACATAAATCCAGAGCCGATCGTAAGATTCTCGGTATGACCAGCCGTGCGCTCCTCTGTTGCAATAGAACTCTCTCTGATCAGTGCTGGGAGCCGTGGCAATTTCGCTGCTATGCTGGCGATTTGAAAGAGCGCGCTCTGTGCTTAAAGGGGGGGGTTTGGAACCGGACCCCCCCCCCGCTGGATGGAGGGGGAGGGGGGTTCGAACCCCCCCTCCCCCACCCCCCCTCCTCCCGTGACGGAAGGGCGGGGGGTTCAAACCCCCCTCCCCCCCCCTCCGTGACGGGGGGGGGTCACCCCCCCCCCCGCTTCCCCTCTCCTCGGGCCGGCTCTTGCGTCGGCGGCGGCTGGCGACGGCGGCGGGGACGACGATTTCTATTTCTGGGCCAGCGCCCGCCGGCGCCTGCGGCGGCGGGCGGCGGTGGCGGGGAGCGTCGACGAGGACGACGGTAGTGGTGGTGGTGGGTGGTGGTGGTGGTAGCGGTGGTGGTGTTTGTGGTGGTGGTGTGGTGGTGGTGGTTGTGGCGGTGGGTGGTGGTGATGGTGGTGGTGGTTTGGTGGTGGTGTAGTGGTGGTTTGTGGTGGTTGTGGTGGTGGTGGTGGTGGTGTGGTGGTGGTGGTGGTGGTGGTGGGGTGTGGTGGTTTGTTGTTGGTGTGGTGGTGGTTTGTGGTGGTGGTGGTGATGGTGGGTTGTGGTTCTGGCGGTGGTTTGTGGAGGTGGCGCTCGTGGTGGTGGCGGTGGTGGTGGTGTGGTGGTTTGTAATGGTGGTGGGTTGTGCTGCTGGTAATGGTGGTGGTTGTGGCAGTGGTGGTGGTGTAGTAGATTGTGGTGGTGGTGGTGGCAGTGGTGGTGGGTGTTTGTGGTGGTGGTGGTGGTGATGGTGAATTGTGGTGGTGGTGGTGGTGGTGGTCGTGGTGTGGTGATGGTTTGTGGTGGTGGTGGTGGGTTGTGGTGGCGGTGGTTTGTGGACGTTTGCTGTGGAGGTGGTGGTGGTGGTGGTGGTGTGGTGGTTTGTGGTGGTGGCGGTGGGTTGTGCTGCTGGTAGTGGTTGTGACGGTGGTGGTGGTGGTGGTGGTGGTGTGGTAGATCGCGGTGTTGGTGGCAGTGGTGGTGGGTTTTTGTGGAGGTGGTGGTGGTGATGGTGAGTTGTGGTGGTGGTTGTGGTGGTGGTGGTGGCTGTGGTGGTGGTGGTGGTTGTGTGATGCTGTTGGTGGTGGTGGTGGTGGTGGTGGTGGGTTGAGGCGGTGGTGGTGGTAGTGGTGGTAGTGGTGGTGGTGGTAGTGGTGGTAAGTGCGTGCGGGCATGGTGGTAGCTGGCGGCCGCCAGCGCTGGCGCCAGCGCCGGCGCCGAGGGGGGGGGTTTGAACCCCCCCCTCTGGGAAGGGGGGGGAGAGGGGAGGGGTTTTGACCCTCCCCCCCGGGAGGGGGGGGGGTTCGGGAGGAGGGGTTGGGGGGAGGGGAGTCCCCCTGGTTTTATCGACGGCGCCGAGTGTTGGGGGGGGGGCCCACCCCCCGGTTTGAAACGCGCTGCGGAATGTTCCCAAGGCAAGCGCCCGTGACACGCGTTCTCTCGGCGATTTCGTCCACTGCATGGTTGCACGTGGTCATCCACCGAGGGGCACTTTGCCGATGGACTTCCTCGCCAGACAGATAGGAGTTGACGAAAACACCGAGATACACCGAGCAGGAGCGGCGGCCAGCATTAGGCCCAGGCGGGCACACAGGTCGCCGCCTGATCCAGACGGCGCGAAACACTTTGGGGCGAACCATGCTCGGACCACCGGCTCGCAGCCGGAACGAAAGCGATGGCCCGGCATTGCTCCAGACTGCCAGGGGGAAGGCCCTGAGCTCCCCACGCGCCAAGACCTGGCGAAATCCGACGAGTGGCCCCCCGCATTGCAGTCCGCAACAACACCGTCGGCTCCAGCTCGTCGAAGAGCCCCGTGTGCTTGACCAGTGTCCTCCAGGCCTGCGAGATGCCGCCTCGGAAGCTGGTTTGATCCAGCCAGGAGCGAAGCCAGAGGTCCAGAGACTCGACGGGGGGCCTGGTGGCGAGGTCGTGGCCCTCCTCCCTCAGCGCCAACAAGATGGCGAGGCATCTCCCACGAGCGGCAGAAGCGCACGGGAGGCCCAACCTACCTGCATCCAACCCGCCGCACGCGGGCCCAGAAAGTGCAGAAATTATGATGCCCATAACCTCCTGCCGCCTGCGATCCTTGATTCTCCAACCCTTCGGTGTGGAGGCGAACCGTTAATCTTGGAACACACGGCTCTACATTTGTCGCCGCATTTGGCCGTCGTCTGACGCTCCAACCGCGCGTCGCAAGAAAGATCAATGCCAAGAAATCCCACTTGCAACTCTGGAGCAAACTTAAGCCAGCGCGCCGAACAACACGATGAGATCCACTGCGCAGACTGAGAACTGGAACGCGAAATGACCGGCCTGGGCGACACCTGCAAGCGTTGCTCCCGTAAGACCTGACAGGCACCAAGCAAACACGCCGGCATCTTGGCACGGATTTCCTTGCGCGGCCCGCGAAAAAACTGTGCAATGTTATATGCCCACATGCGATGGCTGAGCCTCGGGTGCGCCACCATGACCCCGGATGATACATGGAGCGTGAGCCATCGACCGAAGCGCGTTCCAAAGCGGAGTCCTTGGACTATCTTCCGCATGGGTTGGAACGGCTGAGATGTGGCCCCTGGCTGTCCCAACGTCCGCTAAAAAAGACGCGAGCAAGGAAAGCAATCTTGAGAGCACAGCTAGCTACTCAAGGCCATTCGATCGAGTCGTAGAACTAGAACGATTGGATGTCCATCAAGCCATCAACGCATGGTATCTCTACATGATGGGATTTCTCTTCCCGCACAGTACGGACACATGCATCGCGCAAGAGTTAAGCGTCGCGGATCGCGGCGTCCCAATGTCGTTAACGATCTGACGGTCACGTACAAACGAGAGGCTGTCGCATCGTGCTCCGCATTCTCCCCAGCATGGAAATTAAACAAATGATTATGTCGCCAGCCGTCTCTTTAGGCAACGTGCGACCAAGAACAAGCAACACTTCACAGGCCAGCAAATAATCAGCGGAGGGCCCAACGGTCATTCTCTGTCCCTGGGCGAGAGGCTGAAGTGAGGTTATGCGGTGCGGATTGCTGTTGTTCCTGTTGGCGGTGTTGATGTTGGTGCTGGTGTTGGTGTTGTTGTTCTCTGATTACAGAACACTAATTATTGCTGATTCACCCCTCTGGTAACAAATATGTGTCTTCAATCGACTGCCTGTTCCCGGGGCTCGCACCCTGTTTCTATGAAAGAGAATATTCCTCCTCACACTGCGCCACAAGTCCCCGAATTACAATAACAACAACAACAACAACAACAACAACGGCTCCCGCCTGAGAATTCCTCACAATGTATTCCCAAATCGCGCTCTCGCGCGGGACGTCCTCACAATGTATTCAGGGATCGCGCTCTCGCGTGGACCTCCTCGCAACTTATTCACCCGCCGCGCCTTCGAAATTCAGGAGTCACGCTCTCGTTGTGGACTTCCTCACGTTTGATTTGGGAATCGAACTGTCGCTCGAGCGTTCCTCGCGATTCATGCAGGACGCACGCTTCAGCAACCCGCCTGCTCAACCTGGCCGCCTGGGCCCTCCTTCCCGACACGCTTGGTAGGGTCTACCCGCCCGATCTGCCCGTCTGGTTCTGCCACGTGATTTCTGTTCCTAGACCCCCTCGTCCTAGCCTCTCTCGCGCTCCATCCTCCTCCCTCACTTCTCGTCCCTTCCTTCCATCCGTCCTCTCTTCCCCTGCCTCAGGGGCTGCACGACATACACGTTGCAGGTCAGAAAGATCTACCCCCAAGGGGGTACGGT